CACCATAGTTTCAAATAAAATGCATATATATTTGCGATGTAAAATGTGAGGAAATGCTACATTCTCATTACGGAACCATTCCGTCGAGTTTTGTAGCCGTTAAATCATCCATCCCTTACATGATGATCTAACGGTTACAAACCCCGACGGAATATGGTTCCATAACGAGACTGTAGCATCTCCGGTAAAAATGTGTACTACAATTTGCATGAAGTTAGAATATGTCTATCACCATTATTACAATAAAACGAAAAGAAAAAAGAAAAAAAGGTATCCGATCGATGATTCTGAAAATCGAATAGGTAACACAAATGCATCATAAAACGAGTTCTCCGTGAGATGCCCAAACAAGAAGCTAACATAGACAAAACTGTAACAAAGATCATATAGTTTCAATGGAAAAAATCTCACCAAAAATACTCTTATAAGGAGATGGTCCTGTATTGATATATATTGCCTCTATCTAAATTTTTGTAATAATAATGATAATAATAATAATAATAAGCCTATTTACATTTGATTATCCTAATAAACCGCAATGGTTTACACAGATAATCAAGATGGAGGCCCTAACGTACGAGGTATATACAGAAAGTGCAGATAAACTTTTGTTGGTAAGAAGAAAAATTAATTTATATATGTGGAGAGAATATGTGTAAGTAAATTAACTAATCAATAAATGGCTGTTGTCTTTCAAAACCAAAATTATTTAGAATCGTGGAATCATTTTCGGGAGAGATAGTGACGTGTGAGAGAGAATTGAGCGATTCTCCCGTTCAATCAATAAACGTTTTATTAGAAGTTGTTAGGCATCCGCTTAAGCGTGGACTGGACGGGGCTTAGAAATTAAGGTTGAATACATTATTTTTAATTATCTTTATTACCTACAAAATAAAGTATTTTAATTTATGATAAATCAATACACCTAGGTGTAAACAATAATATTAATATATTATTAAAAAAAAAATATGATAACAAAATAAAGTAATTAGTATTAAAAAAAATGAAAATTGCCCCTGAGGCCACTTAGGAGCGCTTAGGCCCGCTGGCCTATTTGTGCAAATCAGAGGCGATCGGGCAACGCCTAAGCAGCTATGACAGACTTATAAATAAGTCATATAACAAATAAAGTAGTTGTTGATATAAATAGACAACATGATTTACACAACACTAGTACGTAGTATCGACAAGTATAATGTTGCGTCTATAACCATACGTTTTTAGGAATGACAATATGTCGTGCTAATAGACTGTTTAGTTGGGCAAATACATAATTTCGTTGTGTTATTTATCATTTAGTAGTAAGTGGAAGTGTGATACACGAGACAGAGATGTTAAATGACCAAGCTATATAGGGCACGTGTAGTCAGCCAAAAAATAATATGATTGGATCATCTATTTTTTTATTTGTTTTCATCACTATTATTTTTTTTATCCGACCATTAAGCTTGAGCCTTTTGTACTTACTAGTATTCGACCTGTGCATTTGCACAGATATATAAATAAAGTATTGTGAGTTATTTGTATGCATATAATAATCAATGATTTTTGTCAAATTTATATTTAAAGGAGCTGAATTTTTTTTTAAATTACATTATCATATTGGATGTAATGTATATTTTGGTATGTATCTTTCTTTGTGAATTATTTATTATTTATTTAGGAATTTCATATACGTTTTTTTATTTTTTAAAAGAAGTTAATTTAAATATAACCACAACAATAACATCTAATAACGTTAAATAGTCAACACATTATATGGTCAACTGTAAGTAAATAAAAAATTTAAAATAATTTTTGTAATTTTAAAGTGATTAGTGTATTGATTATCTAATAATTAAATGAGAGATTAAATAAATAAAAAGTAACGATTTTTGGGTGGAAAAATTTATATTGCCACATAGGTATAATTTAATAGGTTTTATTAAATGCCCATGAGCTAGCGATTATATATATATATATATATATATATATATAGGTAAGAGATCATATGAGAATGATAGATAGTGAAAGAAATAAGAATGAATATGTG